AGGCCTTCACACTGTTTTACAGAACCTTAGAGTTCTCCTTCCATCTTTAAGCGTTAAGCTTGAGCTGCACAATGTCGGCGTTCAGCTGCTGTACTTGCTCCCACCTTCTTTGCATTTTTTGCCTGCTTCGAAAGCTTCGTTGCGTCAGCCGTGCCGCTCAATTGGAATCAAGAGACTTTTGCATAGCCTGTGGTATTGTGATGGGCTCACGGGATTGCAATGTAAGTTGGCTGACAGTATTCCGCGTCACACGGTGATCTTCATATATGTGGAAAGCCGACAAAACTCCATGTCGTTTCTTACCTTTTCTTCTGATACAGGATTGTCTATTGGTAGTGGGTTGGAGCACTTCTTCTTTTACAGCCACGAACATACAATGTCGATGGTTAGCCTGGGGCTGAAACAATTTGGCTGAAAAAGTGGGATAAAGACTCCGCGATTCAGCCCGCCAAAAGTCATCAATTAGCTAATAAAATGGGAGATTGTGACAGCTTCTCAGATCGATCAGGGCAGCCAATCGTGCTTAAACTGGCCATCTGAGCCTCACAAGGGGAGAAGCGTACTACTTTGGTACAGGAGTCACTCACAGTTTTCGAAACTGGATACATGTAAGTGAAAACTCGAACAGCAGTGTTCCTAATTTCTGGTCTGCATTTTAATGTACCCATCTCTTGACCTCATCCCAGATCGTGCTAAGATATTTACAGCAGCTTATTTATAGAAAGAGATACCACCAATCTTATCTTGGTATATGTCCTCGCCTGTTTCTTCTCGCCTGTGTCCGGTGGCCGTGTCGTAGGTTACATCGGCTAGTACCACAACTCGGTAATTAAAGTTAGGCTCTTATTACTGAAATGGAGTGTTCAAAGAATTGATCAGAGAACATAAAAAGTATAATAAGATAGATTGCAAGATTTCAAAAGGAACAGCAACGATCGTCATCTATCAATGGCTCTTCTCTCGTGCTAATCGTAGTTGGTAGTTGTCAGAAGTAGCTCCTGCTTTTCCATACATTATTGAGGGTCACATTGTGTTTTTCACTCGGTTTCCAAGGGATTGTCAGTGGTGACGTCGATCTAGACGTGATAACTCAAGGCTTCGGTCAAATGTATAAGTCTCACGATATCGATAAAAGTGAATCATGCTTATCGCAAGAAATTTGCGCCCTTCCTGTATTGAGACAATTCGCAGGTTTTACAACCCTCAAGGTCTTTCCTCGCTTGGCATTGTTCACGTGCATTGTGGAATCCTTTACCAAGGCAAGGCCGAAGCAGTCATGGCAAGGCTGATAAGGAGAGCGCGGGGCTGCATTCTGAAATTGAAAGAAAAGCATCAATGAGCACTGATAGACATAGATTACTTGAGTATGAAGACTATGCAAGTTGGGGTGAAAATGAAGTATGAGAATGCTGAGGAACGGGAGAATATAAGACACCAGATATGAGATCCATCTCTTTTATACGCCTTCTCACGGTATGCCACAGAAACTGAATGAGATGATGAGCTGTAACTCTTCTTTGAAAGACCAAATTAATTGACATCATAATGGGCTAGTCTTTCGATTGTCTACCTTTTTGCCGGGCACTCCATAGGGCTATACAATCCTACCAACCTACCCCGTCTAGACCCATCAACACCACCGGCATTATTGAAATAAAGATATACCAATGAGCCCCTTTTCCTTATCACTATTTATCAAATCATCGACTTGAATACTTCATTGTCGTTAAGTACTGTCCACTGCGACAAAGTATCGACTATACTCTTTAGATTCATCCTCGCGCCTTCTGTACTCTACCATGAATCGCTCACAGTTTTTTTCAGCCATTTTTAGTAATTCTTACCAACCTGAATGACACTGAACCGGTCGATCTAGACAGAAACTCAATTGCTGAGTCAGAGGAAAGCCACAAAAGCAACACAACTCCATCCCCACTGCTTTGAGCTTTGTCCTTGAATGCTTGGTTCCTTGGAACTATCTTACCATTGATTCTGTTCATGGGGAGATTTGTGCATTTCCAATACTATAATAGCATCAGTTTATGGCTTAAGCCCGAACCAGGTATGTGCGTATGGTCTACATTGTCGTGGGCGAGCCCTACACATAACAGATCTAATACTTCGATTTCGGGTTAGATAGACCAGCATCATAGCTTAAATTTGAGAAAAGAAGATTCTGACGAAAAGCTTCATGCCTTAGTTAGTTGAAATGAGCTACAGTTTGCCGGTCTCCCAGCCCCAAAATAGATGAGAACTAAAATAATATAATATCATTGCCGGCAAGCACATCTCTGTCACTCATCAGAGTGGACCTCTTAGTTGTCTCTAGGTCGATACTTTCGATTAGAAGGCTCTAAGGTGTCACGGCCCAATGAATATTCTGAGCTTCCAGCACTGAGAGAACTGCCTGTCAGTGGGCGGATATCTCAGGAGGAGTTCTACGATGGCCCCAATGTGCTGCACAGTCTCCACTGCTTGAACTTCGCCCGGAAACATTTGGACCTGGAATACTACGCAAAGCCTATGAGTCTCTCTTTAGAATATTGTCGGATTCACATTGACCGCATTGATCATCTTCGACAGTCATTACTTTGCCATGGTGATCTTATACCCATCACCATGAAGCCCGTCACCAAGAACACTTCTTTGCCTAACCCAGTCACATTTTATTCTGGGCAAACTGAGCGAAAGCATACCTGCCAAAGTACGGACGCCATATGACACTGGCTGACTGCCCGTGGGCAACGAACGGGACATATTGAGTCTTAGCGCCAAATTGTAAGATAATACAGCTTTAGGGTTTAGGGTTTATGGCCTTAGGGCTTAGGGTTCAGGCAGTATATAACCGTTATAGGGCTTACCCCCAGATTTGACAAATAAGCAGTTTATTGCAGGAAGTGGATGTCAGTGCACTTACTTAAGTTGAGCGCAAAGAATAACATCAGGAGGATTGCCAATCCTGCGTACACTTCCTCATTCCAGAGTATACCATTGGATTTGTATTCCTCTGCCTTCAAGCGCCTCTCGTGCAGCGTCATTGGATTCCTCACGGGAAATCACCAAAGCTCAAATGGAGAGAACTACAGGACCTGAAGTACCTCGCTCGACAAAACGTTGGGGATAGTGTTTTTGATCTTGTTCGCAACACATTGGTCCATACTTATGAGTGCTGGTTACCAGATCTTGAAAGTACCAGGCCTCATCTCTCATTAGGCAGATTCTCGCAAATAACATTTCACATGGACTCTTTTTCAGTGGCTTTTTGCATCATCAGCCCGAGAGGTTATATATTCTCTGTCTTTATATGATGACTTAGGTTGAAGTGGAGGCAAGGGCTCCACGGAAACTTAAAGCTCACAATGATTGCATCACTGAAAATTCCAAAGGGTATCGTTAATTGTATATGATCTGTTCCATAAAGCCTAGCGTGGCCATATAGATATCGCTGCTCCCGCTAATTTTTACTCAATCGTTTCCTCCAAGAATGAGCACTTTCCACATTTTACCATTCCAACTCTTCCACCTCATAACAACAAGCCTAGGGCCTTACGATCTGTTCAATTTATTGAATGTGTTTCCGTAACGTGGCTGTTACAGTCGATAGCGGAAACGGCTTCTACCCCCCAGACTGCCTTTCTTCTCCCAGGCCCCACTTCCAAGGCACTAGCGTAGGTCTTTTAATGGCCAGACCACACCAAGCTGAGGGCCGCAGTAAAATACCGCATACCTAGTACCACAACAACCAAGCTTCACTACTTAAAATTTAGGGTGCAGATGTAATTTTGCCAAGGAGCTACAGTACCGTACGCGGGCTTGGTACACTGACCCTCAACTTCATGTACTCCGATCAATAGATGATTTGCGCTAAGGCCTTGGCAGTGGAACCTGGGAGAAGAAAAGCAGTCTGGGGGGTAGAAGCTGTTTTCGCTATCGACTGTATCACCAGCCGGCCTACGAAGTCGGATTTCTCAGCCTGTACGAGGCGTGGGCTACGAACCTGGAGTCTTTGTTACTCCAGAGCCAATGAGAGACGCAATGACGACCAGAGGAAACGAGTCCGCAATGTTGCGGCCTGCCGCCACCGCAATTCTAGCGACCTCGAGGCCCCTTTGGCACACAGGAACGATTTAAAAACCATCCGACGATAACGGTTACAACCTCTCATGCCGTCACCCCAAGGGGAGTTCACAGAGCCTCTCAGAGGCGCGGATCGAAGTCGAGCAGGACACCTGTGGGGTAGAATTGGATTTGTGGGATTAGGGCTAAGGTGTATCGCCATCGGCTGCTGGCTCCCTACCCCGAATCGGAGGATACTTTGGTTAGTGGATGGAAAGATTATACGCTGCAGGCCTGGGTGTATAAAGAGACCATCTGCAAGACATGGTCGGCCTAGAGAACGAGAGGATACTAGGTATCAGGAAGCAAGAAATCACGCCAACTTGTGGACTGAGGTGTACTATGGCAACGATGGCTAGGAAGAAGGTTGGCGCGTCACCATCGGCTGCCGACTAGAGATCCTTACAACACTGTCAGTATAGCCCGAGAGGACGGATGCGCATGTCGGTTCACAAGAAGCAGGAAGGTTGTTATGCCGTGACCCCAAGGGGACTTAACAGAGCTGCAACTTGGCCTAAAGGGTGGGCTTAAGGAGCAAACGGGTATATGAGTGTGGGGGAAGGTTTTTGGTCCTGCTGGAACCCCAAAGGCTAAGATGTTGAAGGCAAGAGGATCTACGGACATCTAGGAATAAGAGTACTAGTGAGCTGGATAAGGAGCTGGGAAAGCATGGGGGGAAATTGCCCATCTCTCCGTTGTATTGGCTTAAAAGAACAGACTAGATCTTAGTATACCAATGCAATATTATATCTGGGTCGGGCCCAAGGCATCAAGAACGGCTTTTGCTGAAGAATGCACCGTGGAAGGAGATTAATGCTAGAATCACGAGTGCTCTAGCCATCCTTCCGTCAGAGGGTACAGTGCAGCAGAAAACCGACCGACTCATGTCAGCAGTGTCCGAAGCGGTGCACGCTTTAACGCCGAGGGCGAAACCTTCACCACATGCGAAGCGATGGTGGACAGATGACCTCACTCAGCTCCGTCATATATACACGTACTGGAGAAACCGTGCTCGCTCCGAGCGACGGGCGGGTCGGAAAGTGCCTCGGCTTGAAAAAACGGCTCAAGATGCGGCCAAACAATACCACGATGCCATCCGCAAACAAAAGAAGAAGCACTGGAATGAGTTTCTCGCAGACAATGACAACATCTGGAAGGCCGCCAAGTACCTCAAGTCGGGAGACGATGCAGCGTTCGGGAAGATCCCGCAGCTCTTAAGAGCGGATGGAACTACTACCAACGATCACAAGGAGCAAGCGGAGGAATTGCTATCCAAATTCTTCCCACCTTTACCAGGGGACATCGATGAGGAGGGAATGAGACCACAAAGAGCGGCCGTGGACATGCCAGCCATCACTATGGAAGAGATAGAACGACAGTTATTTGCAGCGAAATCGTGGAAGGCTCCGGGAGAAGACGGCCTACCGGCGATCGTTTGGAAGATGACCTGGCCCACAGCCAAGCACAGGGTCCTCGATCTTTTTCAAGCCTCGCTGCAAGAGGGCTCACTGCCAAGACAGTGGAGACACGCGAAGATTATACCGCTCAAGAAACCGAACAAAGATGACTACACCATGGCAAAGGCATGGAGGCCTATCTCACTCCTTGCGACACTCGGAAAGATACTCGAGTCGGTGGTCGCAGAGAGGATCTCGCACGCGGTGGAGACTCACGGACTGCTCCCGACGAGCCATTTTGGAGCGCGAAAGCAGCGGTCCGCAGAGCAAGCACTGGTGTTCCTGCAGGAGCAAATCTATGCGGCATGGCGCGGCCGGCGGGTGCTGAGCCTGATCAGCTTCGATGTTAAAGGAGCCTACAACGGAGTATGCAAAGAACGACTGATCCAGAGGATGAAAGCCCGAGGCATACCGGAGATCTTGCTTCGTTGGGTAGAGGCCTTCTGCTCGGAACGAACGGCGAACATCCTGATTAACGGGCAACTATCTGAGACTCAAAGCTTGCCACAAGCTGGACTGCCGCAGGGCTCGCCCTTGTCTCCGATTCTATTTCTCTTCTTCAACGCAGACCTTGTGCAAAGGCAGATCGACAGCCAGGGAGGAGCAGTCGCCTTTGTGGATGATTTTACCGCATGGGTGACTGGACCGACTGCGCAGAGCAACCGGGAGGGAATTGAAAACATTGTCAACGAGGCGCTCAATTGGGGAAAGAGAAGCGGAGCGACATTCGAGGCCGACAAGACGGCCATCATACACTTTGCTCCCAAGATGCGCAAATCGGACCATTCACCATTCACCATCAAGGGGCAGACAGTGGTACCAAAAGACCACGTCAAGATCCTGGGTGTCGTGATGGACACAAGACTCAAGTATAAAAAACATATTGCGAGGGCAGCGTCTAAGGGTCTTGAAGCAGCGATGGAGCTTCGGCGACTCCGTGGTCTATCCACGGCAACTGCGCGGCAGCTATTCACGTCGACAGTGGCACCAGTTGTGGACTATGCCTCCAACGTGTGGATGCACTCGTGCAAGGATAAAGCCATGGGGCCGATCAACCGAGTCCAAAGAGTAGGAGCGCAAGCCATTGTGGGGACATTTCTCACGGTCGCGACTAGTGTCGCAGAGGCGGAGGCTTACATAGCTACTGCGCAGCGTCGATTTTGGAAACGAGCCGTGAAGATGTGGACAGACATCCACACTTTGCCGGATACCAATCCTCTCCGCCGGTGCACCGATCAGATCAGAAAGTTCAGAAGATACCACCGCTCACCGTTATATCACGTAGCCGATGCGCTTAAGCAGATCGACATGGAGACTTTGGAAACGATTAACCCCTTCACGCTAGCCCCGTGGGCGGAACGCGTTCAGACTGACATTGATGGACAGCACGAGTCCCCGGCCGAAGCAGGCGGGTACGTGCAGGCCGCGGTTAGCAGCTCGGCACGGAACGAACTGGTGGGGTTTGGAGTGGCCATCGAGAAGCGGCCACCTCGAATTCGAAAGCTCAAGCATAAAGCGCTGTCCATCACCTTGGCTGCAAGAGCGGAGCAGAATCCATTCTCTGCAGAACTGGCAGCCATGGCACACGTATTGGGCACGCTGGCGGGACTGAAAGACCACACGATCACACTGCTCACAAGCAACAAAGCGGCGGTTCTCATGCTGAGGAATCCCCGACAACAATCCGGCCAGGAGTTCGTGTGTCGGATATACAAGTCGATTAAGAAGTTGCAAAGAAACGGGAATCGTGTCAAATTCCGCTGGATTTCCACCAGTGAAGACAATAAGCTGCTAGGTCTGGCTAAAGCACAGGCGCGAGCCGCAACGCAACAAGATGCCCCCTTACAAAAACGCGCCCCGAGAATGAAATCAACCACACTTAATCTCGCACGGTCTCAGGCAGTCCCTGGACATAGCCTGCCAATGAACGTTGGGAAACACGCCAAACGAATAGATGCAGCACTTCCAGGAAAACACACACGACTGCTGTATGATCGCTTATCGTGGAAAGAAGCGACTGTGCTAGCCCAACTCCGGACTGGCATGGCTAGACTCAATGGGTATCTCAATCAAATCAATGTAGCAGAAACGGACCAATGCGATTGCGGACAAGCGAGAGAGACCGTGGAGCACTTCCTCTTCCGATGTCGGAAGTGGACTGCCCACCGGACGGAAATGTTACAATGCACCCAGATTCACCGCGGAAATATTTCCTTCTTCCTAGGAGGGAGACAGCCTTCTGATGATCAGAAGTGGACGCCAAACCTAGAGGCAGTACGGGCCTCTATACGTTTCGCCATTGCGACAGGCCGACTCGAGGCCACTTAAACATATCGACCAACACAACTCCCACACCCCCTCTTTCGACCCTACTCACCCATCACCTCGTGCTACAAACGGTAGACGCGCTTCAACTGCCGAAGATAGGATGTTGAACACTTGGAGAAGCGCCTTCAAGTCAGCCTACTAACAAACTACTAACCCACGAGAATCCGCTGCGATACGAGCATCTGAGACGACATACTCTGAATGCAATCATGTATGGGCTCTGATGAGACACAGTACTGTATATATTATGACATGTATAGTAGATCAGCGATAGTTGCCCTTTCGGCTTAGCCGCCGGGCGTTAATGAATTGTTTGTTTGTATCACCAGCTCCGACATTCTTTTTACGAATCAACCCCTGAGAAGTTTGTGACGCTGTTATATGCGATCCGTGCTAGAAAGCTCGATCTAATACAAAAGATTCCCGATATACCCCAGCTTCTGAAGGACTTCGATTCTGAATGTCAAAGCACTGGTCACATGCATGAAATGATCCTTGGATATGACGAATTCCAAGTCCAGAATTTTGCAATAACCAACTTTGGCGGCTATATCAACTCATTAATGCTAGCGATAAATGAACGGTCACTCGAGATCATCCGATTTCTACTTAACAGCGGGGCCAAATCAAACGTTCCCAATATGTTCCATGGGTTTATGCCGCTATATGTTGCAACGTTAAACGGCGACCTTTGTACTGCACGTCTTCTGCTCGAGTATGATGCCTGGCCAAACCGCGTGACCGACCAGCAGCAAAGACTACCCCTTGAGGTTGCATTGGAGAAAAACGATATCGGACTATTGAAACTACTGTGTACTTATGGTGGCTGCCTATCGTCCTGATAGCTAGTTCATGGAGCTACCTGATATCACTTGATCGGAATTCTCTTCAAACTTGTCATACCGTTTAGTATATAAGGACTGGGGAAGACTAATTACGGCGTGATAAACGCACGATGGGAATGATATACTTTCCCTCATCATTTGAACGAGCTATTTACGGTACAAACCAGGCAAGGCTCATAATATAAAATGCTGTCTGGTGTACGTGTCTACATAGACCTAGGGCTATTAGGGATGCTGTCAATGCTAACTCAGGGTCTAAATCGAGATTGGAATCGAACTGAGTTTTGCAAAAGCTAATGATTTGTAATTGGATCGCCCTTACTTTGGCAACCTACGTTCAGGGGGTACAGCGGCTATATTTAGTCTGACTTGGCAAGTTATCCTCACCACGCGAATCAGTGGAGATTGTACGGTCAAAAGTCCTATCATTTTATCCGAGCATTGCGTAGAGCATGTAAGCACTCAACCTATTTAGTTAGTATGGAGAGAATCAGATGTTCACATAGCTCAAACTTTTGTCCACCGTTTGAGCTGTCGCAGAAATCAAGGGTCTGATAGAAGAGAGAAGGTACACCCTTCCTCTTGTCACAGCAAAAGAAAGTCTTTATAAGAGAAAATAGAGCATATAGCTGCCCACTTGGTGAAGATACAGTACTTCATGGAGAATGAGGGAGAGAAGATCATGCAATCAAGTTCGTAACCGCCCTTCTTTCACAATTATGCCCGCCATACAAGTCAAATTCGGTACATGTATAATGACTCTCTGGATCTGCTGATTGACAAAAGAAACCACTAAAAGCCGTCTTAAATACTCACCCCTCCCTCAGTCTGATAGAAACTTTTGCTCGGATCAAACAATAAAGCTTGAAGTTGGCCATTGAATTTTGATAGCCGCACGCCACAACACTACTGGTATATACCAGACCATCTAGGAACAAACGAGGAGAAAGCTCGTTTCTCGGCGTGCACGGAAATACATCAATAAAATCCGGCCGCATCATATCCACCCCACCTACGATGCCACCTAACCACTGATTAACAGGAGAAAAAGAGCTGTCAAATCACGTTATAGAAATACCACCTCGTTTTATCTTGAACAGCTCACTTTATCAATCCTGACTGCCAATATGATACTCGTCGACTGCTATACGTGGTCACAGCCCGTGAGATGCAAGAAGACGGGAAGATTATTTTGTTTTACAGTTTTGACTACTTTTCTGACAACAAGAACGATTGTCTCTATCTTAAACATGAAGACGAGATGCTTTCTGCTACTTTTTACAATTTTAAACTGCACACAACGTGATCTTTCGTCTGTGGGGGCATTTCAGTAATTTAATCTACATTGCTGTTGTGCACTATGTACGCCAGTCTCCACTCTATTTTACAGCCAGTCAAGTCTCTAAGTACCCCAAACAATAATCCAAATATTGGAGCTGACCTCTTGTCATATCTTAGAGATTTTAGTAATGGTAAGAGTGACGTTTACTGCCAAACTCTGCATTGAGCACGACTATATATCCATCATTGTCATTACACTGCTTATACCATAATTGTTCCACTCACAGTACTTGAGTTCTTTAGGGAATGTCAATGCGACGCCAAACTTTAAATTCCAGTAGCTCGCTGGTCTATTTGCGCGCTGTAAGTTGCATGGCGCAGACTTCTCTCACAAAACGCCTCTAGTGATACACAGCGTCATGACCTCACTCTTTCCGGGCCTAAAAGCCTACCAGGAGCTATAAAAAAGTGATCCGCACATTTTTGTAGCTCTATTGCCGAAGTCTGCTTCAGCGGCTATATGATGTCATTATCCATGAATAGTCTCCCACCTGAGGTATGCCTAAAGCTGGTACCTGAAAGCTTTTCTTCTGACAAAAAGAGAAATAGTTATGGGACTTTGTTCTCGCCCATCTCACTCCGAGAGCCTTGAAAAACTTTTCTCTTACTTCGCCTCGCTCTTCCCAAATGGTGCGTTCCCAAGTGAATCGCCGAATCCTGCATTATTTGTCCCCAAAGACCCCCTTCAAGCTCCAAATGATGCTCTTGGACACGGCCGCAAAGGAAGGATGTGAAATATTGGAGTTGACCCGCTCTCGGAATCTATTCAAATATCAACTACTCGATCTTCCGGGCAGTATACCCGGAATTGTAGCGCGGGACTGGAATTACATCAAATTCCACCTATCGAGCAGTCAAAAGACCGAGAAAGCTATGCCAGGCTCAATGGCATCCGACGATGTCAATCAAACATCAATACAAGACAATTATACGAAAGAGATCTGTATCGACGAGCTGGACTTCATGTACCAAATTTGTTTTGCGATTCATAAATGCAAAACCGAGTCGAGAATCTACGGAAGCAATTTCTGGGGCGGGAGCATGAAAATGTTAAGGCTTTGGAGCGACTGGTTTCCCATATCGACGACTCAGTATAGCGACCCTTACGTCGCTCCTGAGTTGAGGTTGTTTACGAAATTGGTGTGGACTGATTCAGCCTTCAATGTGGGGTTTGTTCTTTCAGCATATAGGCATATCCCAGAACAGGGGTGTACCGTGTCTCATTCTGCACCAAAAAAGTTTCAAATTCACTTTGACGAGGTGTTGATAAGGGACGATTATTTATGGGCCCTTTTTGAAGGCTTCAGTACTTAAAATAACATCGCATTTTCATTGATTCAAAACTATCCCTAGATACTCTCGATTTAGTCACTATCCCATATTTTACCGTCGATGAACAATCCTTGCCTGTGGTTGCAGATTCGCATCATTCGTGAGAGCCAAGGAGGTCATCTGTGGTACATTTGATTTATTAATCTGAAAATCTGAATTAATATATGGAAAATCACAATCCAAGGCAGAAAAATATCATTGGATTCTATGGCCAATTTACATGCTCCAAGAAAGAAAAGTCTAAAGCTGAACTTCACCGAAATACTCTGCGAAAAAATGACTTTTTTTGCACTCTATTGCTGGAGATAACGGAAATCCAAAGTCTCATCACATTGACTAGAAGAATACCGGCATTAGTCCACTTGGTTGAGTTGGAGATTTGAGCGAATGGTTGATTGACTCACACGAGAATCTCATTATGTCAAAGTCGGGCGCGAGCTTTTGAACTGTCATCTTCCATAGTTGATCCGGAAACAGACTCTACGATAAGATAATCATCGCTACAATTCGGAAACTTTCTTTGATATCTAGCAGGTAGAAAAAAGATAAAAGGTTGCCTTAAAAGTTAAACGTTCCGGAGAACATTGGGGCAAGAGATTTTTGTCGTACGGTGGAGTAATGAACGTTATTCCTGACCAGTATATTCCCAAACGCTCAGCGCAGGGTAGCTAGGAACTTATCTGTGTCCCCCAACCGATGTGAATCGGAAATCAGAAAGGACCGACAAGTCATATGACGTGGCATCTAACGTACTCCGGAGCGATATGTTCAGCTTCAATAGCAAAGTTTTCGGTGATAAGGGAGACCTTGAAATGTCCCTCTTTTGCACGCATACACCCAGCATGTCCGTATAGTGTCGATCGCATAAGCAATGCTCCGTTCTTTGCAATGCAAATATTTGGAGGGCAATTCTTGCCACATGGTAGCATGCACTACCAGTACTAGCAGCGTCGGGTAGACCCGTTTCAGCTGATGAATTGTGAACCAGCCACAAGAGACAAGTCGTTGCTGCAGGTCGCCCTGATCTGAGATCAGCAAAGGGGCAATAAGCGGCCAGGCGTAGCCGATTGAAACCCTGGGACAGACTCATCGTCGGAGTGCTGCAGCCAGAAACAGTTCCTTAAGTCATTTTAAAAAGCTTTGATCTTAAAGAGTTTGGATAATCAAAATCTCATAGACTGCCCCTCACAATACAGCCGCTACAACCAGATAGGACGATTTGCAAGATCGAACTATGATAAACCAAGGTAAATCCACTCAATGGGAGGTATTCGAGCGCGGGAAGTGGCTTGAAGGGCAACCGTCAGAAGCGGACGGAGAGGCTAAGGACTGAACTGAATTATCTTATTATTTGCAGTACTAGCTTTAAACGTCTGTTGCTCTAATCTACATCGTGTCAAAATATTCTCCGATTGTCCTGGACTGAAGAGGACAGCGAATCAAAGCCTGGGCAACGTTGCCACGTGCCATTCATTCAAGGCTATCTGCTATATAGTAACACCTCAATGTGAGATCCCATTGACAGTATTTTCATACGAAGACCCATTTAGCAGTGCCCCGAAGACTGGTTTCAACCTCCACGGCATCTTTCAGAGACCCCTCGATGAGAACCTTATCATCAAGTTTGATTCGAATTTTTTCTGGCCCGAAGCTCCCGGTGAGCTCGCGTGGCTGCACAGTCATATCCGCGTCAGGAGTGAATTTGACGGTGACTTCCAAATCACCTGACGGAAGTGATACGTTGAGAGCGCCTTTGACGGTGTATAGAGACCCATTGTAGGGAAAGATTGCACCAAATGTAGTTTTTCTGTGCATTAGCTTCCCTTCCACTGAGTCCATCTGTTGGACAAGAAAGTAAGCCAACATCACAAGACGCCATGATAAGAGTACTCACGATGTACTGTGGATTTTGGGGTCAAATGGTTTCCTCGGCTTTTATGCGACGCAGAAGTGATCAATGTTTCACAAAGGACTAAGTGAGTGCATGATATAAACCGCGAGTGGATCTCAAATAAATAAATCCCAGGGTTTTGATCGTCCTCGTGCTTACTTAATTGCCTCTATGCAGATATGATTTTTTAAAAGCTGATACGTTGCAGTGCGTGCATTGACCCAAAAAGGTTGACGCAATTTACCACCATGTCGGTTCAGTGCCCGGCTACCTAACGTAAAACACGTCAAATAATTAGACATCCCCAGTTCAGCCATTCATTTTACTGTGAACTCGTACTCAGTTCTCTAATTCACTTATGATTACTGATATTTAGAGCTTTCAGTTTGCCATGGGATAAAGAAAGGGGCCGCCACCTCGACACAGGTTTATCTCTCGGAATGACTGCCGAGGTGAACTGAAATCTGATATGTTTTGTTGATTCGTTGATGTACACACAATCTCCCATTCTGCTCTAGAACTTACGAGTAATTGTTGACAGGGATACGTTGATTGATGTGGAAATATATTTGTGTGAATTAGCAAACGGCCGCGAGTCAATCTCTAAAACTAGACAAAATCCAGATGATTCCTGACGATACCTTACTAAACACGGAGTGTTAAACTAGGCAGAATAATCATTTCAATGTTTAGATTCCCGAGCGGATCGCTTCTGCGGCATTGAGGAAATTAATTAAGACATGAAAGGGGGGGTAGGTGTCTTGGGTGAGATTTTTCACTTTTTCTTGGATTGGCTCCACGTCCTGCCTGAATCCGGTCGTCGAAATATGTACCATTTGGCTACTTCAGCCCATCCGCGGCAGAAATTGCAGGGAAAGAGCTTGACAGTATCCAGCTTTACGCGATATATTTTTTCGATGACTACACAGTCTGTCTGACAATTAAACAGGATGTTCGCAAAATCACATTAGAAGAATTCAAGCTGGTCACTAATTCAGAAATTCTGCCCGCAGATCTCACGAACAGAATGCGGTGATTCTTTCTTTTTTCTTTGATGATGTCCATCAACCTTTTGGGGCTAACTAAGGCCGAATATTGAATTATAGATTAGCCTCTAATCCTAGAACCCACAATTCACCCCAAATTTGCAGAGCACCCCAGAAATGGGTCTTCGAAATCGACTAAATTAAGTATTCAATTCTCTTCAAATACTGGATGTCAACATGCATTTTGAACAGGCCAACTGAGCGCAGGGTGTCTCATCTCAATTGGACTCTTCTCCGCAGCCAGATAGGATGCCAAGCTTTTATGAAGTTCTTGGGGTTTTACCTGATGCATCGCCCAAAGACATAAAAATGGCCCACAAAAAAAAAGGTAAGCAAGCAGATCAACGAGTCATCAAAAGTAGATGTTGATTTGTAGTCTTGGAATACCATCCTGACAGAAACCGGGACATCAATGCCACTGATACATGTGCGGCTATCAACGACGCATTTGATGTTTTAAAGTATCCAGAAACTCGCGCTGCATATGATGAAAAGCTACTCTACTCCAGCAAACATAAAGACTCGGCAACTCCTTCCAACCCAAGGAGGAATTGGTCCCAAGAAAGCAATACAAAACCGTTCTCCGAGACAAGGTGGCCAAATTCAGCACAGCAGCAGAAAATGAAACAAAGGTTCCGTGAGATGCATGAAAGCGGGAGATTCGCTTCTAAATCAAGTTCTATGCCCGCGCAAAAAGGAAATATCCCGAGAGATAAGCGGTCCAGACCGCCCGATAACAGGGCTCATGAGTCTTTCAGGAGAAGAAAACCCAGCCTGAGACCCTACCAATGCTGCGGACGTGATCAGGATCAGACAAAGGAAGGTGAGCCCCCAATTCAAAGGGCCGCAGGCAACCCGAAGCGTCAATATGAAACACCTCATGGCAATGCCCCAGTTTGCTCCAGGGAAGTGCATGGTGAACCAGGAGTGAAAGCATCAGAACAACCATCCGTTCCAGAAAGCCAGCCAGCTCACACTAGTCTTTCGGGGAATTCTGGCATAAATCGACCAGACAGAATTTATCAAACAAGTACATTATTCAGAACCTCAATCTCCCAATTACCATCCGACCTATTATATAAACGAAGATCTGTACGTGAACCCATTCCACCTGGAATGCGTGTAAGTACGACATCATCAGGGATCCGGCGAGTTTTCCCAGTACCAATAACCCCTACCGATTCCTCGAGCTGTAGTGACTCTGATAATTGTAACGCCAAAGCACCGACTTTATCTCAACTTCAGGTGAGACCCAAAGCTGTTCCCAGGGGTCGGTTCTCACTTCACTGAATTGACTGGGCAGCTTTCCGGCCATCTCATCCAGTGAGCTAACAGTATATATTCCCAAATTCATCGTAATTGTACGGATAAAGACTTCGAAAGCTGGTGCTTGAGAGATGGGAATTTGTCGCCCTTGAATTAATCCTATTTGTCCACTATAGTTCTTGTGTACTCAGTCCAGTTATTGTAAGCAGATGTATATTGCTGAACTTTTTATGAGTGTATTCGGCAGCATTCATTGCCTACAGAAACAGCATATAGAGAGCTATTGAAAAGACGAGTGATTCACCATTTCTGCTCTTGAGTACGAAGCTGTAAGAGGGAGCAGGGGCAACCAAGTGCTTGTGCTTAAGACGTGCTAGTATATAGAAATCAAGATCCCTTTTGGAACTGAATGTACAAACAGGAAAAAAAAACGACGGCCTACGAGAAAACACAAACTTCGTAAACCGCAATGATGGTACAAAGCTTCACTTGAGCAAATATTTCAAAAATTGATGGCTTCAATTACAAATTGACTTACAGCGGGCGTATTGACTTACAGCGGGCGTATTGACTTACAGCGGGCGTCATCAAAGTTTTTAAAGCGTGACTGACGCGATATTTTGACAAATTCTGGTCAAATAGCTTCTGTGTATGAAATGATGGTCAAATGACATTTATGGTCCTGATACTTCTGACATCCAGATTGCCGAAATGCTCCATTTGAACGTAACTATCATTTCTTTTATTAATATTACGACATATTCCGCATATCTGCTATGTTCCATTTGTTGGCTGTCAAATTATAGATATTATGCAGTTTTCTGGGAGGCGGGATAGATAGTGACCGGTTTCGTCCGGAAATAGCACACTTTACTCCGGCGTGATATTACTTCACACGGATAATTAGTCAAATACAGAGCTGATAGAGTTTTTTGAGGAATAGTTTTGGGACTCTAGAACGCGTCTCTTACACAGAAAGATCGCTATATGCATAAATTGATCGAGGCTAAAAAAGAGAAGGGATATCCGTGGTGGGATCCCAGGTCAGCGGCACATTTCTTGTCGGAAGACTGTGGACTACACGCGTTCGATATCAGATCGGCCCAGCTCACATAGCATTATGTGAGCGTCTTGAATATTATTTACAAATAATTAAAGTTACAACGGAGAATCGCCATAGGTATTATAGTAGTTGAAAACACAAGGCCCTGCCGCTGTCAGACCTGACGATTTTCAACGGTGCACCCGATGGCAATTCTGTCTGTGCATGCTTTTTGGGTCGAAATGGGGTTTTCGTAATACGTTGATCGTTCATGGCAAGAGGCGTAAGAAAAATATCGGCAATGTGATCTGCCGGTTGCGGTGATGTGGAAGCCTTGATGGGTGGCTCAAAACTTGAACGCGAGAGAAAGAGCTGATACTGTAGGCCTGAGAGACTGGGTTAACTTGCTTTGGTATATAAAGTTGTCTGTGGAAGGCGGACATTGAGTTTTCCGCATAAATTATGAGGTAGTTATTGATATTAATAGTTCACTAAAAACAATTACTGAGGAAACATATCATCGCCCAGGAATACAAAAAAATGGATGTACTGCTGATGAAGTGAGCAGTGGTTCCAATCTACGTGTATTTCTTAGGTCTCGTACAATGACGGGTCGACAGCCAAGGTGGGGCGATTGCTTTCATGGATGATTTTACTGCATGGTGGACCGGGCTAACTGCGCAGAAGAGCCAGGAAGGTATTGAAAAAACTATAGCGAGCCGCTGAACTGGGAAAGGAGAAGCGGTGATGCTTTCGAGCAGAGAAAACCGCCTATCATACACTTCGCCCCCAAAGCTGACAAATTAAACCAGGAGCCTTTTTAATACCAAGGGACAAACTGTTGAGCCCAAACTCCATATCAAGAGGCGCCCTGATGGAAACTAGACTCAAGTACAAGGAACGTATCGCGAGGACGGCTTCCAAAAGGACTGGAGGCAGGGATGGAGCTTCGACGAATTCAAAGCCCATCCCTAGCGACAACACGGCAGCTATTCATTTTGATCGTGGCCCCGTGGTGGACTTTGCTTCCAATGTATGGATACACGCTTGCAAAGATAAAGCCATTGGGCCGATTAACCGAGTCCAAAGGGTAGGACCACGAGGAATAATCGGGACATTTCTCACATTGCAACCAGCGTAGTAGAGGTGGAGGCCAACATCGCCATTACCCAACACCGATTTTGGAGACGGACTGTGAAGATGTGGACGCATGAATAAAGGGCGGGCAAGAATTTCAGAAGATACAGTACCACGATCCGCTGTTGTTTCAAGTAGGAGACGCGCTGAGGAATATGTCAGGATGAGGAATTGATGTACTGGCTAGTACTGAAGATGTCCAATAGAATCAGATGATTGATTGTAGGTGTTAGGATCGGTTGAACAATCTCAGGGGACTATACTAAATAAGCTTCGGCGTGTTACAACACCGTACTTCCGAATGTGCCCGGAATACCGTACAAATACTAGGGGGAATTGGGTGAACGATGAATAAGCCTGTCCCGAAGGGTCCTAGTGGTATTTGACCACTCCCTCAGTTCGTCAGAATATCAAGATAAAATCACTGGACACCATCAACGTTAGACCCGTGAAAGAA